ACTTCTATGTTTATAACAATGAGGCCACCAGGAGAACACAAGTCCACAGCACGAGACTGAAGTACATGTTCAATGCAACTAACTCCCTGTGCCTGGGATTTCCTGCTGGTGGGTGCAGGGGCCGAATAGCTTATGCATAAGGAGGAAGAAAAGATCTTAGCAGCTGCGCACTGAGAGCAAATAAAGGCTCAACTGTTAAAATGAAGTCAGAAAATAGTTACCCTAACAGCCAGCCAGCGGTTTCTGCTAACCTTCCATGGTTATCATCTCACATTTCTTTATAGAAACCTCCAAAACTTGTCAGCCAAGATAAATCTTTTTTCTTTTTAAGTTAGGTATTTCTAGTGTGTTACGGTGATGGTGAGCTGACTAACACACTAGCTCTCATTGTGACACCTAATTATCATCGGCAAGAAAGAGTAATACCAGAATTGTCCTTCTGAGTCAGTTTCCTGTTCCTCTACTTGATCTCAGTGAGACCTGAGGTCCCAGAAACCTCTATCTCAGGAGTCCAGGAGAGGATCAGTTAGGAGAGGAGGTAAGAGCCATGTGTGCCTGTGTCACTGATGCAGGATATACAGCCCAAGTCACCACACACTGTTGGAGCATGTGTTGGATATCTAGTAGGGCAAAGGGTATAGATATAACGCAGATTTCAGTCACTGGATCCAGAAGACAGACTCAAGAAAAGGTACAGAATTGATCATTCTTCTGGGCGATGAATTCTGAACACTGATTAAAGTCTCATAGAGAACTTTAAAAAATATTCTCTTTTCTCTCAACAATTTAGTGATGATTTTTCTAATAAAGCAAATCCTCAAAAAACAATAGACAAAGGTCTTTGAAAAACTGTGTACCAACAAAGTGGCCTCCAGGATGGACACTGTGATACAACTCAGCCTGCATTTAAATGAAATGTGAATTATTCACTAGAAAGCAAGTTCCAGGTATCAACATTTAAAAGCCCTATCCCCAGCACAGCATATGGGGACATCTCTCTGACACACGGCAACCAGCATGTTACACAAACACATTTGCCCCACAGGCCAGACTCCACAGTTTCCAAAAGACACAAAGCCAGCGAGTGAAGGAAAAAAGTGCATGTTACAACCCAGAGTTCTGCCACTTGAAACATATCACGTGGCCGTGAGGAGTGAGGAGTCCTCTCACGAATAGTCAGCTGACTGCAGAGGCATCTGCCGTGTTTGCCAGCTCAAATGGCAGACAAGAGGCTAGAACAGAAGATTCTGAGCTTCAAAATCAGCGCATTTTCCAGTCTGCACACAAAGCCTCAGTTTTTCCTATCCCTGAAGCCTTTGATAAAGTTATGGCAAATCCTCCAGATTTTCCCCTCCCCTCTTCGGTATAAAGCATGGAATGTGAGACAGAAAAATGAGAGTCAAGTGCACAACTCTGCCACTTGTGCCTGATCAAGTCTCTTAGCTTCTCTCAACTCTAGTTTTCTGTTGACTAAATTAAACGGGCTCTGAGAAGAAGAAGATTGGGAAGCATGAAGGAAGTATATTATTGCTAACCCTAACCACCTCCCGAGGTTGGACTCAGCCGCAGGGCCTTGAGTGCAGTGGTAATGACTGAGTATTGTCGGAGACTCGCTGTATGCCAGGCCCTGTTCTAAATGCTTTCCTTACATCAACTGACTCAATCTTTCCCACAAACCACCAGAGCAGTTACTATTATTATTTCCAACATACACGTGAACTGTTTGAGGCACTGAACGGTAAATGGAAAAGCTGTTCGTGGTCACTACCACATATGGTGGCTGATGTCATCGATGGCCACTGGGCCAGCGGTCAGCAAGGCCTTGGCTTTGTTTCTGGCTCATGGACCATCTAGCCAGAACCTGGAATCAAGCACATGTTCAAAAAACATTGCATTCTCTGATGAGCCTCGTGTTTCTTCACGTGCGTGTGAATCCCGGTTCACCTGCCTACTTAACTGTCACGCGTGAGGCTCTGCGAGAAAACACAGACCATGCAAGTGTGAGGTGCTACTCACAATATCTGTTAATGACCGTGTAACCGCATTTGAACGGAAAGCTAAATTGCTTGGCTTCCAAGCTTCACATTCATTTCATCCTTTCTCTCCTTCAGCCGCATGCTATGTGGTGAACTGGGGTTAGCTAACTGGAGGGATTATTATGTTCTCATTTATAGCAAAACCAGGAGGCCTTGGAGACACACACAAGGCCAAGGATCTTGCTGCAAGGCTATCCAGCAAATCCTCCATGGCACTCAGGAGCCGGAGGGACACCTCAACTGCCAGACCACTTCCTGTGCTGTCCTGAGGTCTCCACATTTTTGGCCACTCACGCCAGCAGAACCTCCCCTCCACAGCTGGCCTGGCTGACAGTTTTCAAGATGTAAAATAATATAAGCCTGAGGTATTATTAGTGCCACTTGCCCTGTGTTGAATATTGCCCCCCTCCCATTTATGTCAGCCCTAAGCTTTACAATGTCTCTGTACCTTAAAATAGTATCTTTGTAGATGTGATCAGTTCAGGATTTGAAGTTGAAATTACCCTGGATTTAGGGTGAGCACTGAATTCAGGAGCAGGTGTCCTTCCAAAGGAAAAGAAAGGGAAATTTGGTTATGGAAACAGAGGAAACAGAGATGAAAGAAGACCCCATGAAGATAGAGACAGGAACCAGAGATGCAGTTACAAACCAAAGAACACCAAGGATTGCCAGGAGCTAAGGGCAGCTGCAAATGGCAAGGATGAATTCTCCCTGGAGCTCAGGAGGCAGCGTGGCTCTCCAACACTTTGTTTTCACGTTTTTACCTTTTAGAACTATGAAGGAATATGTTTTCATCTGCCTAAGCCACGGAGTTTTTGGTAATTTGTTAAGGCAGTTAGAGGAAACGGATATACTACAGCTACTGCTGAGCACATTAAGAATGAGGAAAAGGGATTGCAGTGACATTGGAGTCCACCAAGCAATCAAGATTCTAAATATAGAAGTAAAATAAAAATTTCGGTAAAATCACACTCGACGTGGTAAAAGGAGTCTGTGAATCACATTCCACACAGGAAGACACAAGCCACGACTGGCAACGTTTATTCGCATTTTGATGGTCCAATAATTAGAGCAAAAGCTACTTATAGTAAGAGCCCTTTTCCCTCTGTGCAGCATATTTCCATATAATTATAAAGCAGCACACTCTCAAAGGCATGCTCCAGTTCCACAAAAATAAAGTTAAAGGAAATACTTTAGAAAAAAATAATTCCAAAAATATAATAAAAGACTGTTGCATTTCTGCCATGAAACAACCATTTCAAGAATTATTTTCATTACTTCTAGCTACTACTGATCTATCTAGCCCAGCTTTAAATCTATTACACAGTAAATTTCATTTAAAATATTCATTAATCTGCGTTTTTTCCACAACCTAAGTAAGTAGGAACCATCAAAAATGGTTTTTTAAAAAATATTTTAACTGGATCCAATTATGCACTTTCAACTATATTCTCCTGGATTATTACCCAAATGCAACATAGAAAAGACCCCAATTTTAACTTAGTAGAAAAAAAAGAGCCTGTAAAAATTTTATGCTTTGCAATCAAAGCTAGTGTTCCCAGCATGGTGCTGGCTACCCATGAGCAGCTGGGAGTGAAAAAAATCAAGGTGTGATTAAGTGGTCTTTTTCATATTATCCTCTCTTCAAGGCTTTTTAATTGGACCACAGCCATCATTAACAGTGCCTGCTCACCAGGAGTTTTCTGTCCAAGCAGCCAAATGAGCCACCCAACATCTGACTTCTGCCTGCCAGGCCAATGTCTGCTACTGACTCTCTTTCGCAGGGCACAGCTCTGGTTCAGGTCCATTTTAATGTAAGAAAGCTTGATCATTATTCTGCTTAGGTGCTTTTGACATTCTGTGGCTTCATAAAAGACTTATTTTTTTCCACAGTACAAACAAGAAGCTCAGGTGGCTCCTCTGTTCCCGATCCCCAACCCACACTCTCCTCCTTTCGAGATCCTTCTCATGGCTCAGTGCAGGACTGCTTGGTTGCTGAGACAGAACCACTGACCTCTACCTTCCTGTCTTCCCGCAGCCACTCTGGCATCAAATGCCGCCCTCTCCCAGCTGAAGCCTTCTCTATTCAGGTCACTGCGCCAAAACTCTGGCTTCAAGTCTTCCATCTTAGAGCCTCTTTGATGATAGCCTGGACCCAGATCCTTCCTCACTGCAAGCTCCTCCATGGTTTCTGTCCAGGTAAATGTGTCACAAACATCTTCGACCTCACATGTTCCTCTCTTGGTATTTAATTATGTGTGATCCCCAGTTGTCCACTGGATTAAAACTCTCTTCCCACAACTGGACTTCATATATTCCCACCTCCTTCTTTGCCCTTGTGACCCTCTATAATGAGCTCTGTCTATGGATCTGTGTCTTTTACACCATAGCGCACAGCTGTGGCTCTGGACAGATCACTGTTCACACCTCTTTCTTCCTCACCAGCTGGGCCTCCCCTTCCTCTGGGGCTCATGAATACTCTTTCAGCCTGTCCCTGATTCTTCCCTGACTTTGGCTGTAAAATATCCTCTTCTCTACTGTTAAAACTTCACCTGCTCTTAAAGATCCAGCTCAGTCCAACTGGCCCAAGGGTTTTCTCACTCACACTGTCTGATACCCTGCCTCTGAGATAACTCACTCTCAGTGTCCTCTTTACATAGTGGCACCTGGGTTCATGAATTTAACTGATTCCACAATTCTGGTGGCAACCTGAGTTGGCTGAGAACTGAATCAAATTCAGTGATTAAATCCAATGTTGATTTACAGGGAAATTTTATTCGGTAGAACATCCTGTCCCTCTTTCTCTCACTTCCTCTGGCTCAGAGACTGCACTGGAGACCCATAAGCTGTAGCTCATTACGAATTTCCCTGGGTAGTTCTACTGGCTTTTAATTACTGAAATATTTCCTAGCATAGCCCAAATGGTACTATAATCTCCCCAGGCCAGGTCGTGGCTCCACTCACCTTGACCTTCAGTCTCGCTCTGGCAATACAAGATCCGTGAATTGCTTTTGTTCTGCTTCTTTTTTAAATACAGATTTGATGCCAATGTAGATTAAACCCTTTAAATGCTTAAATCCCTTGTGCGGAATAAGCTGTCCTCTTGAAATCCGCTTGCAGTTTTATCCTTGGGTCTCCTTTTCCTATCTCAGAGCAAGCCCTACTCTCCAATGCTTCAGTCACTTCCGTTCCATCCCCTTCTTTGCTCTTGTGACACAACCCTATTCCTTTCTTCTTTAAAATTTAATTACTTTATTTTAAAGAGAAAAATAAAAATAAACAGTTTCAAAACAGGCCAGTAGGAGAGCAACAATAATTAACACATTGTGTATTGTTATCTTCAGAGTACAAGATACAGGCATGAAATACTGTCCAAACACTATTAGCACAAGCCTTTCTTTTCAATGAACTAAGAGAAACTAGCAGTATAACTATCCTAACAATCGTCTGTATTTTTTTTTTCCATTTCCCTATTCCTTTCTACACCCCTGACTTCTCCTGGTATAACAACCTTTACATAAGTCTTCTAAAAAAGCATTACTAGGTCTTCTTTTCTCCTCCTAAGAAATTAATTTTATCTCAAAATGATTTCAATTCCTGCAGTTTTATTTAGCACATTTATGTTAAGGACTCTAAAATTAACTTCCCACTCTAGTCTAAGCTTTAACCCAGAACTTCCAGCTGTTGTGCAATTTCCAGTGACACTCAAACAACCCATCAGACACCAAACGGATTATCTTTACACGTTCCCCTCCCTCTCAATGCTTTGTCTTTGTTAATAGCTTCACGTTGGAACACTTGTTTTATCTCAACTATTTCCTAACCTCACTGCCAAGTGCAGGGACTAACCAGGTCCCAACCCATTCCGCCTTGCCAGTGTCCCCCGCTTGCTCCCTTAGTCCATCCGACAAGGGTCCAACGAGTGCCTCCGTGAGAGCCTCTTTCAGTGGCCCTGCGTGTTGCCCTTCAAGTTATTTCAGTTTGGCAGAGTGAGCTTGTTATGCACATGAACACGTCTCTCCTATGTCAAACAAAAACAAAACAGAAGCCTCTCATCGGATCAAAGTTTCTAAGAGCTAGTGTGCAAATAATTTTATGTCTTCCCAAGTTGGGAGTATGGTCTGGATGGAAAGGAACGTCAAGAAGACACACTATCGCTAACATCAGTCCACGCGGTTTCCATTTGGGACATGTCCCCTTTTCCCTCTGTGACACACAGTGCCACATGCTCTCCAACACCAATCTTCATCTTTCCATCTGCAGCTCCTGCTGTGCAAAAATGGGCCAAATGCCGGCCTTGTCTGCCTGCTTTGACTTGATCTTTGCACCTCACAGCCATGGCTAAGAAAGAGCATCTGGGCTTCTGTGAGATTTATAAAGACGTCCCACTTATTCCTAACAATCAGTCTTTTCATTTGGCTTTAAGATCATCGTTGTTACTGTTCTAAATGTCAGCTATAATGACATTTAGTGCCTTTGCTTTCTGCCTGCAAGACGATGATTATAGGAATTTTTAAAATTTACCTAATTGAAGGTGACCCTGGATTTTCAGGATTATTTTAGAAGATTAACAATTGTGTTTTGCATGTCACATGTGCAAATCAAGTTATCAAAGCAAAGTCTCAGTTTATTGGCAGTGCCTAAAGAGGCTAATTCCTTGTCAGAGTCAGCCCAGGCATCCTGCAAGTATTGAGTCATGGGTCCTCTAAACTATGGTTTTAAGCTTTGTTTAGGATTTATAAAAGCTCGTCTTCCACTCTGCCTTTCAATGTAAATCATTACTTAATAGAAATCCAAAAACCTGATTGCGTGTTAATGCATAAGCCTTTCATACAACATAAATATAAGAAACTGTATCTGAGGTTGTGTATACTATCTCTCTGGAGAGAGTTGACAAAATGCCACAAGAATCTCCCTCTTCTTTGTCATGTCAGGGTGTACACGACAGCAGAAAAGAAGGCAAGTTTCAAAATTGTTTAGCCTAAAACGTTTGGCTTGTAGGAACCATTTCTCTTCAGCTGCTATATTGTGCTACAGGAAGTGTTTCAGCCATTTCTTGGTGGGCATTTTAAGCCTCTGTGAAATCAGTTTAATCTTGTCTTCTTGAAACTGCTCTTCGCAAAATCATGGGAATTGTGTTTGGAAACAATTATATGAATAATCCTGTCAGAACCTCTTTATTTTAGTGGAAGCTGAGCTTGTGTTTTTCTCTCCTGGCTCACACTTTCAAATGTATTTTTCATGCAAGGTCCTCAGCTATGTATTTTGCAGAATATTAAAGCACTCAGGTTCTGTGGGTTAATTAGCTCGTTGACTAATTAGCTCGTTGACTGCTTTAGTTTCCCTTTAGAAGAGTCAAACACACATTGCTAATCGTTCCTACAAGCTGTTAGTCCTTGGTAAAGAGATACTGTAGTACAAAATCACTATGTCCTCTGAAAGTAAAAGCAAAGCCCCTCCCCCATTCGAAAGAAAAGCTATAAATTCAAGCCAATATAAACTTGTCAGACTTCTCCCTCTCGATTTCACACCAGGGCGTGGTGCTACACAGCTGGGGAGCTGAGCTAATAAGTGTTGAAAAATGAAAAATGCTGCTTTATGGCATCACATAAACTGGCAAAAAGAATACTTTTAACTCCACCCCATTTTTGACAAACAAATGCCAGAATGACCATGCTGTAAGCATGAGATTTCGTGGTATGAGACTCAAGGGGCGAGCAGAACTGTCTTATGGGATTTTCTTTTTATTGAATACTTCATATAATAAGAAGTGGCATAACATTTGTAAAATCTAATCACTTTTGGTTCCTTTTTGAACCTCAGAGGGGTCATTTCTGGAAAAACTGTTGGAAACACTACATAATGATCTATTTACCCAGTAGTGAAAGAGGATTACCCCTTTTACGAGGAGGCTGCACTCTCCCTTACAATATAAATACCGCAGCAAAAGTGCACAACTTGAGGTTCTTGAGGAACATCTTGTTCAACAAATATTTACCCAATAACTATAATAGGGTTCAGAGAAGGATGTGTAATTTGCATGAAAAACATAATCATGACAGCTGTTTCCTTGGGTTTGTTTGTTTCACAGACAATGACCATTCACTTACCTACCCATTATTTAATCGACATTCAATCAGTAAACAAAATCCCAGGTTTACTATATCTAAATCACATATCCGTATCCAAATCTCAGAAACCACAGCAAGAGAAATTGGGAGTTCATCAGAGGAGAAATCCTTTTGTGCAGGGGCTTGACATAAATGTGATAAAGTCAGGAAAAAGAGAAAAGTGGGTACATTATTGGGGTGCATGTCTTCCCTGCAAGCAAAATTGGTGCCTCACAAGTAAGAGAGGATGCAGCTGGGCACTACCCCAAGGGTCCTAAATGCTATGAGACCCTAGTACATGAGATTTCTAATCACAGTTTTTAGCCAGCTGTGATTATCTATTCTGTCTTAGCCTTCCTTGGTTTTTCACAGTTAGAAATATATTCTTTCCCCTCTGAATTGGCAAAGTATTTTATTTAAGTATACTTAAGTATACATAAAGTAACTTTATTTAATACTCATTATTGTTATAAGTATGTACACCACTTTTCTCCTTGCTTGATAAAAACTCTTTAAGATTAAGACCAAAGTCTGATTTATCTTTTATTATTATTCAATTGAATAAGTTCTCAATGAATTTAACCATTACATAAGCAAATACTCATAGCTTCACAATAGTACTTATTACAGTGGTAAACAATGACAAAACACAAGTACCAAATGAGAAATCCAAAACACATGACTCACATCTGGGAGCAGTACCATTGGGGTGGTCTAAATCATGTGCAGATTAAACAATGGAGTAAAATAAATTCTGGTTTCAGCTTTTTAATTGGGGAATTACATAAAGAAGTCATTGAAAAGCAATCTTTTCCAAAGTCCCAAAGTTATCTGAGTATACTTTATGGATTACAATTAAAGAATACAATTACATGAGCTGTGTAATGTTATCATTTTTATGTTCCATAATTGAATAAAATGCATCACAAAGCTTTTTTCCTCACAAACAAACATAAGTTATCCAAGGATCACATGATTTCCAGGAAAAAGCCACCAGTGACTATTAATGCTTTTAATGTTATTAATTCTCAAACTTCATAAAAATGGTAAAAACAAAAGTTCTTGTTAATTGTAGTAGATTTTAAATATGGAAAGGATAATTTTAAAATATACTGTATCCTTTTCTCATAATTCTGCTTTTAGACTCCAAAGTTGGGGCGGGGGACCTCTCATGTTCTTTGTTAGATATTTTCTGTCACAGTGCTCGGAACATGACTGGAAACCACCAATATTTTAACTATTTTGACTCAAGTTTAGTGAAAAGTTACTACTACTAGTCCTCAGGTAGCAACTACCAATCTTTGGGGCAAAATCACTAAATCTTTGGTATCCACTTTGAACTTTGGAAGGGACTAAAATTCATCACAAAGTCCAGCCTAGCTCACCCACAGCATCTCAAGAAATGGATGTGAATTCCTGATTTTACTCCGGAGGGAATAATTACACAGTTTTTAAGATCTGAACACTTCCCATTTGGCTAGTGGTCAATTCTGCATTCATATGAGATACCTGTGTACATTAATAGTCACTGATTTTGTAGAAATTAAAATGAGATTTTTCATCCCTTTGAAATTAAATTATGGGGCCAAGAATTGTAGCTCGGTGGTGCAGTGCCTCCCTGGCAGGCGTGACACCCTGAGTTTGATTCCTGGTACCAAAAAAGAAAAAACTTATATTATGCTCATCACCCACAACATGACAGAAAAAGGCACAAATTACCCATTTGTGAGCTCCTGGTGTCAAGGGCAAAGAGCACAACATGAAGAAAGCACTCTCAAAGGTCTACCAGTGTAACTGCCATGATTAGCATAATCTTTGTAAAGAACAATCATTTTTCTTCTAATCTGTAATAAAGATCACTACATAAAAGACAAAGTGGTTCTCCATGGTACTTGTGTTTATGTGTATGTGTGTTCATATGAATATTTTAAATGTCACACACTCTA